AACTAAGGAGACTGATACATCACCTTTAAATTAGTAGAGCAGCATTCAAGAGATTGAGTATACTTATTTTATTATTACTTCCCCCGATAAAAGGAAAGTACTGTAATCATGAAAATTTAGATTTTCACGTTTTCGGGTCCCTAGATTACAAAAAATATGTTTTCCCCATTCCGTCGGTCTGTCTGCCGTCCGCCGTCTGTTGTCTGCCGTCTATCTGTTGACACGGTAGCTCAAATACTTCAAATTTTGTATGCAGGTAAGGCTTCCTCTTGGTTCAAAACCGGTTATATTTCCGGTCAGCAAACACTGAACAACGTTTTACTTGTAGACACCTTTTACGAATGTCCTCCAGAGGGCATATTTCTTAGCTTAAATCTCGAATTAACTATTGCTGTACTCTAGTGATATGTAATCGATTAATCAAAAATAATAGATTATTCCGAAATAATCCATTAATCGAAAAGACTAGGTTATTTTTAAGTAATCGAAATGAAATGATTATTTATTTTGAAAATTTCCCAACTCTAGTTATAACCCTTAGGGCCGCCGGAGAGGCTAGCCGCGAGCTTAGTGTGCATCCACTTACTCGCAACAGTTAAGCAGTGATCTCTCCGGTCACGTCGTGGATGGGTGACCGCTGGGAGGTTCCACCATGGGCCGTGTCACCGTGGGATTCATCCGACTAGCGTTTAACCATCGACGATGTGGAATTAATGATAATAAATGAGTGTGTGAATGGGAAAGTAGTAGGACCTTCAAATGGTGGTACAATAAGCCGCAGGCTGCAGTGCTGCCAGACTACAGATGGATTAGGGTGTAGCACAGGAGGTCTGAAGGGTGTAAAAAAAACTCTTAGGGCCGATATTTTCACCTCTGAGTAAAGTTACATGTAGCTACTTTCAACTTTACTCAGAGGTGAAAATACTGGCCCTTAGATTTTAATTTTAAAATAGCCAATTACGCGACTCTCTACTTTGACCTCCAATCTATCGATTCAAAGTTTTTAAATAATATAACTGATGTGAATGACGGTGTAAAAAAACTAAATGAAAAACTATATGAATTATTTTCACGACATGTTCTAAAAAAGAAAGCTAGTAATAAAATGTATCCTCCATGGTTTAATGGGTCTATTATCAAAATGATCAAACAAAAACACCCTCGCTCGTATTTTTAAAACCCTGAACAAAAAGAAAAACAAACAGATCGGCCAGTAGTAAACTTTGATTAGTCTCAATCAGACGGTATAATTAAAATTAAAAGAAAGATGCTCGGTGGCAATAACTAATTAATAAATTGTCGGTTTGGTGGTTGAGCCAAAACGAAACCAAAAACAAAATTACTATTTCAGTTAAAGAAGAAAAATGGCAAATAATTGCGGTCGTAGCAAAAGTTAGCTAGTTAACTGTTAAATCGGCAAAAAGATTAAACCTAAATAGTTTGTTTCGTAAAAGCAGAAATAAAATCACGGTCGTAGAAAAAGTTATCTGGTTAACTATCTAGTCGGTATTGAAACTGAAATGAACCTCCTTGTGTTAGTGAATAGGAAATAGATAAATGATAAGAAAACGGGATAGTATCAATCCTATGAGGAGTGCACTCGTCAGAACCAACATAAAAATGATACTATCATTTTAATCACGGCGCGGAGGTAACTAAAAAAATAATCAAAAACCGGGTTAGTATTTAATCCTATGATGAGTGTACTCGCCAAAACCAGCCCGCTCAAACATAAAACAAAATATTAAACCGGGTCAGTTTTATCCTATGATGAGTGTACTCGGCAAAAACAGCCCTCTCAAACATAAGAAAAACACTAATATGTTAATCACAGCTAGGGGTTAATCTAAAAAAAATCTAAAAACCGGGATAGTGTCTAATCCCATGTGAGCTTTCTAGCCAAAACCAGTCCCCTCAACATGAAAAATGATATTATTTCAACTTTCCAACTTTCGAACTAATTTTATTCCCAAGTAAAGGAACATAAATGGAAAAAAAAATTAAACCAGATTGTGAATAAATAGAAACAAAATTTATGGTCGTAGTAAAAGTTAAGTAATTAACTATATACGGAATTTAATTTTAAATTTAAATTTATTATTACTTAAAAATAGAAACAACATCCATGGTCGCAAAGAAAATTAAGTGATTAATAAAATAAAAACAAAATTTCTACTTCCTAATAACCAAAACTAATTTCCAATGTTTCTAAATAAAATCAAAACTAAATAATTTATCTGAAAATCAAAATATTTTTAACGAAAATCTAAAGTCAATTATTATTTCTATTAAATAAAATCGAAAACGGAATAATTTAATCAAATAAAACTGGTATTCGAACGTTTAGCTCAAGAACCGACGACAGAAAAAAAAACGTAAACATGAATTCGGTGTACCTAACTACGGTCTCGTCAATGATATTACGGCGTATAACGAAGCAGACTTAACGAGGTCGGAAAAATGAAATCAAGCTAGTCGAGATCAGTAAAGTGAATGCTTTTAATACTGAATGCTGAATCCCAGTCTCTATGCCCAAGCAGGCTGGCTCCCCACTCGGTGTGCGCGGATCGCGCGCGCTATCGTTACTCAGGTATAATACGCGAATTTAAATGAAACAAAATTTGATATACAGGGTCTACCCATGAAGTTAAAATAAAATAAAAATTGAAATTTATATCCGGAATAGGCCGAAATATAGTAATGAAAATTGACTTCATTACAATGTGCTGAAAGAATGGAAAATAATATTCAGGAAAACCCTCAGAAATTTTGGACATACGTAAACTCTTTTAAGAACTCCTCAAGCTTTCCATCTTCAGTACAAATTAATAATGATGTATTGGATAATCCATTAGATATTGTGCAGGCATTTGCAGAGCATTTTTCAAACAATTTTACATTACCAACACGTACTATCGTATCTGTTCAATCAACTTCTGTTAATTTACCTATTTTATCTATAAATCATGTATCTGATAATGAAGTGGTAGATGCTATAAAAAGATTAAAGCCAAAAATGACAATGGGACCTGATTATATTCCTTCTTTCTTCATTAAAGATTGCGCACACATTCTTTCAACCCCACTGTGTACAATTTTTAATTTAATATTGGAAACAGCCATGTTTCCTGATCTATGGAAATTATCTCGCGTTACACCAGTTTATAAAAAGGGAACCAAAGATGATCTTGACAACTATAGACCTGTTAGCATACTTTGTAATTTCTCCAAAGTATTTGAAATCATTATTTATACATACTTATCTAGACATCTTTCGGGTTCATTATCGCAATACCAACACGGATTTATGAAGGGTAGGTCCACTGTGTCGAATCTTGTGTGCAAAACACAATTTTTGGCAGAGGCTTTAGATAGAAGAACTTAGGTCGATGTTATATATACCGACTTTTTGATAGAATTGATCAACAAATCCTATTACAAAAATTAAAGTCTAAGGGACTATCTGGTCTTCTTCTTTTACTTATCAATTCTTACTTAGAAAATAGACGTCAGTACGTGCAACACCAAGGATTTAGATCAAACCATTTTAAGCAAATTTCAGGTGTACTGCAGGGTTCGGTCCTTGGGCCCCTTCTTTTCATAGTTTTTATTGATGACATTATTGTCAAAAGCACAGAAGTAAAATACTTAATGTATGCTGATGATTTAGAAATGTTTGCTGAAATACGGAACTTTGTTGATTGCACAGCTTTACAAAGTTGTTTAGCTGAATTATTGCTATGGTGTACTAAAAACTATTTGCATTTGTGTCCTGGTAAATGTAGTGCTATGACATATACTAGGAAAAAATCATATTTCACCATTGAGTATCAGATCAATGGCACTGTATTAAGTAGGCCGGAGTTTATAAAGGATCTGGGAGTCTATTTTGACAGGGAATTAACTTTCGCAAGGCATATTGAGCAGACAGTTATGTGTGCTTCTCGGAGTCTTGGTTTTGTAATTCGAAATTCCAAACAATTTAAAAATATACATACAATGAAGTTATTATATATTAGTTTTGTTAGATCTAGACTTGAGTATGCGGCAGTTGTATGGAATCCTTCACTTAACATTTATAGTAGCGCTATTGAAAATGTACAAAGAAAATTTATGAAGTCCGCATCATATCTTCTAGACAATATCTATCCTGCTAGAGGATTTCCTCATGATCAACTATTGTCGCGCTTTGGTTTAATGGAACTGAACACACGCCGTAAAATGCATTCCTATGGGATATTTTACATGAAGGGCTAAACTGCATTGAGTTTCAGGATTATATCAACATTAAAGTACCTTGCCCTGGCCTTAGAATATACTTAAGGTTTTACTTGCCAGCTGCAAATACAAATATTTTGAACGGTTCTCCAATTTTTCAAATGATCAATTATTATCATCGCCTGCAAGACAGTTTGGATATTTTTAGTTATAAGAAAATATATATATTTAGAGCTATTACCATAGAAACCGATTAGGTGTTTATCCTGCTTGGTAAGTTGATAATATATCTTTTGTGTGTATTTATTTTATTTTAATTTTTTAATTTGTTAAAATTTGTTTTATACTCCTTTAAGAACTTAAATATAACTGAATAGTTTACCTTCAATTTTCCTTAAAAATAGGCTTTATTGTACTTCTTATTTGTTTCATGTTCAGTCATATTTGACGTTCTTAACTCTTTTTGTGATGTATATAATTAGTATATTGTATTTGTTTTTAATTTATGTTCATCCCACTCTGTAATTGTTTTTAACTGTTGAGTGGTGTACTAACTAAATAAATAAATAATTATAACCTAATGTTTATAGCAATCATTTTTTGCAGCACAATTATTTAAATAGAAAATTTTATTTGAGTAACTGGAATTAGTTTTATTCATTAATCTAATATGTCCTCATTTTTCAGGTATTGAGAGATATTGTCAGACCGTTGAATATTTCATATAACGTAGACGTAATCGTAGAATATTTTTAGATGTACGCACTTAGTAATTTAACGCCATCAGAAGCAACAATTTCTAAATAGTTGCGTCCGTGACTATTATATTAAAATTATACAATAATGAAATCGTATGTGAGCGAAACTTCACCTGCCATACTGTTAAATATTTCTCCTTTGTTATGTTTCTTTTCGAAAATTTATAAACTGCAATCAACAATAATAAATCGTGATGATTCTTTTTTCTCAGGGACACTTTCAATAGAGTTACCTATCTATTTACGGAATTTTATTGTTTCTTTACGTTGTTAATTAATATTACAGTAGTGATTGGTGCACAATGATTTTATTAAAAGTGTTGAGCATATTATTCGTTTTTTGTTTTCAAAAAGTTATTAATAATGATTTCGCAAGGTACGTTAGAAAATTTTTATTTATTCATTGAGATATCTGTTATTTCGTAAAAAAAATGTTTTAATTGTAATAACGATTGTCACCTTTCTAAAAAGAGTATATGTCAGTTCTGACAAGTAAATTAAAACTTGTTTAAATTATTTTATAAAAATAAATTACATATTTATGCTCCAACGGATTTAGATTTTACGGACAAACGAATTTCAAAATAATTTTTGTACTATTTGAAAAAAAAGTAGTTACATACAAGAAACTAATACTTAGTATATCAAGAAAATAATAAAAATGGAAATTAATTGTTAAAATTCCAAAAATTGCACTTTTTTAAATAGATATTTTGACGTATTTGTACAGGATTGCCTAGTATTTTATTATGTAAGAAAATATTATCTTATTTTTAAATTGGTAGTTATTCTTTTAATAATACTCTGTTTTTAAATTAGGAGCGAAATGAAATGAAAATACGCGTTTACACAGGGAAAAACGGTATCTCTAAGCGTGGCTTATGTAGACTCAATATGGCCGATCCGCTAGAACCGGACTATTGGGAATGCAACCCAAACCTGCATTTTTCTTTTTAGTTATATTTATTAATTATTTTAAAACGAAAGAATAAGGTTATAATAACTGATTTTCAGTAATTCCACTTAATAACAAAATAAGATTCAAGTAATAAAAAATGTGTGAGTGAAAGATTTTATGTTACACATTATTTAATAGAATAATAATTACGAAGTCTATAAATTTCAAGTGATATATCATGGTTTAAAAGAAAGTATTATTTTATCAGACCCTAACAGTTGTTAAATTGGTAGGTATTAATGTAAAATATATTAGGACAAAATATAATATAAAAATTATGTTTATATTGACCATTAAACAATACAATTTTATTGTTGTGTTGTTTTATGCTTTTTTATTTCACTTTTAATGAGGTAAAACATCCTAATGATTGTATATTTGTTAGCTGCATATTTAGTTAACTCTATTATGGTTATACATTGGATGGTGATCATGGGAATGCCTACTTAATTGCTTAGAGTGACAGGGGGGAGGTGAATGACATATAACAATTGAGGATATGATTTCCTCTTTTAACCGAGCGTTTGTCTAAAATGTTACGCAGTTCCTGAAAATGGCTCCGGCACACAGTGGAGAATTTAGAGCTAAATCCTGGCCAAAATATTTTGTTTTGGTTAAAAATCAATGTTTGTGACTTGTAGTTAACTTTATACGAGTTAGTACACATAAATATAAGTTTTACAGGTATAAGTTTGTAGAAAAAAGGTAAATAAAAAGGATAACTCAAAAATTTTAGTTTAAAAATTACACACTTTTTTTAATTTGTCATATACAGGGCGTCGTCCCGAAATTAGACAGTCATATTTTAACAGCATAATCTACATCCTAAAGTAGGAGTAAAAGTTTATATAAACATAGGTCCGAAAACGTTTCTTTTCCGAGATACAGGGTGTTAAAAGTGAAGTCCTGATGACACTCTTTTGTAAATATTTTCTAAACGTTTAAAGATAACTAAGTGAAATTTGGTACAAATGCTTACTTTTGTACGCTCTATTTAATGGGTTATACCCCTGTTTTTGATCGTCTTTATAGGTGGGTAAATTAGGGGGGACTTAGGGTAAAATTCCCCTAAGTTTTTTTTTTTGATGACAGTTTTTAACATTTTTCACTATAAAATGTGGAAAACCAATGTTTTCTTTATAATAAAGATACTTTTGTTGCATCTCGCTAGGACGCACCATTTTCAAGAAAAAATCATTTGAAAATTTCATGATATGTTGATGTTACCTTATTCGAAAGTATAAACAATAATTAGTAGGCCTATGAAATCAGAAATTTTATTTTTTTTACTTTGGAAAACCGGTGACTAAAGAAATTTTAGAAAATATTTACAAAAATGTGCCATCAGGACTTCACTTGTAATACCCTGTATCTCGAAAACGAAACGTTTTCGGACCTATGTTTGTAATATGAACTTTTGTTCCTATTTTAGGGTGTAGATTACGCTGTTAAAATAGGACCGTCTAATTTCGGGACACCCTGTATATAGGTTTGAAATTTGAGAGCCAATTTCGCCGCATTTTTTTTTAATAGACCTGCCACGAAGAACTCTGACTGTTTAGCATTTGATTTAATAGGAAATACTATATCAACTATTTATTAATAAAGCATTGGTTACGTTATCAAAATTAATTTATACCTACTTGCTACATATTTACTAAGAATATTTTTGTTTGCAGTACCTTTTCACATCCAAGATGTCGCAGAAGTGTACCTCATGGTCAAGTAAGTTTTGACCAATTTATGCGACATGAAGAGGTAAGTCTAATTAACTTCATTAAAAATGTTTATTCTTAATTAACAAAAACAAACATTTTGAAATTCGATTTGAAAATGTTTGAATTATTACTGAGGCAGTTAACACTTTTTTCCATGTATTCTGACCAGTTTAAGTATGATAACCCAAAAAAATATCGTCTGATTGTCTGTGCATGCGTATGTGTGTCTATACGATATTAATTAGGTACAGAACTAAAGGTCCGATCGAATTGTAGTTTAAACTTTCCTTCATAATTTTTGCCAACCGGTAACCCTAGTGATTTTCAGAATTTTCGATTTAAATTTAGTTCAGTTTAGTTTTCGTTAACTTCCGTCATCTTCTTCACTAATACGAGTAGTTGGCCTTTCAAATATTTGCCAATAAAAGGTTTCAATTTCTTCATCCTGGTTTACGATTTTTGAAGATCCTTCAATATAATACTTTTGCATCAGAACACAGAACAAAAAATATTTGAATTCAAACAAAAAATTATAAAGACAACACTAGCACGTATAAATTTTAAAAGCCAATAGAAAGCTATCATGTTGATGGTTTCTTACATGGCGAATGGACAGAAGAGTCGAAGGAAGCCAAGCGCTCTCCGCGCGGCATTGTCCCAACCGGCATTTTTCAGAAGCAGTGTTGCCAGACCTACGGTTTTAACAGTAGATGTACTGTTTTTGTCTCTGTTCTACTGTTTTAGGCATGAAATCTACTGTTTTCGCCAACTTGGCAAATTTTGTTCTTAATTTATTATGTTGTCCTCGTTGTTCAGCAAATATGCAAAGGATATTTTCTCAAGTAAATTTGCTGAAGTCAAATCAGCGTAATAAGTTGAATACGGTCAGTATTTTAGGATTGCGTCACACACAAAATATTTGACTTCCATAGAATCATCATGTTTTGATTTAAAATTAATAGGACATCATAATAAGAACATGCATTACAAACACAACATATTTGAATTATCTGATTCAGACTGATCTGAAAGAAATAGGTACAAGTTTTTCAAATTTTATTTATTTTATTCTTTTTTTAATTTCTAAATTGGGTATAAAAGCCAAAAATGTCTATTTTTCGTTTCTTATACCATTTTTTTTATTTATTTATTTATTTATTGTACTGCAAATTATAATTATTTCCCCCTGTATTAAAATCTACTGTTCATTTTCGATGATCTACTGTTTTTTCCTACCCATCTGCTGTTCCAGAAAATGTTCATCTGGCAACACTGTTCACTCAAAAGAACCACTTAGTTTTTACCTGCTTTTTCTTGAATAAGTGTCAGGTCGCCATGTTAACTATGTTAAAAAAAATTTAAAAAGAAACACTGTCAAGAATGTGATTAATTTCCGTAAGACGGTGCTTTACTATGATTGTAAATATGGTTTAGTTTTGTGTTGTATAAATTATTATGATTTTTAAAGATTAAATAATGGAGTTAAATGTTGCCGGTATTTTATTTTATATGAACGAAAGAAAATCAGTACCTATTCTTTCTCTCAACAGTCCACTACAGTCAAAGGAATATCTTAAAAAATGTACGGGAAAAGTATCTACCCCCAACAACGATACATATATTTAAATTTTTTTATGCCTATCATCTTTTTTTCACTGAATAGAACATGTTTGGTTTCTCTTGAGAACACGCCATGCATTTATAATAAATGTGGAGTTTCCCAAATAAGTGATTCAAATAATATTTAGGCTTACGGGATAAATATATAATTTTACACATCCAGCCTAAGTAGTAAATGGTCAAATATGTCAAAATGGGCAGACGTACAAGTTAAAGAGTCAACATTTTCTGATAAAGGTTTAAGTGATAAAAGAACCAAATATTTTTAATTGGCAGGCTTAAGGAGTAAATGGCCCAAATATTTTACATTGTTTTATTTTTTAGATCAACAATTACATAAGATCGCTAGCCTACAGGTATCCCAAGATAGTTAAACTAGAACATCTTGGTAAATCATATGAAGGACGAGATATACTTGCCATTAGGATATCAACGGGTAATTACAAGAAACCAACAATTTTTATTGAAGCAGGTATGCATGGAAGAGAATGGATAGCACCACCTGTAGCTCTATACGTTATATATCAGTTAATTGAAGTACCCCAAAATTACGTTTTATTTCAGCACGTTAATTGGGTAATTGCTCCAATTATGAACCCAGATGGATACGAATATACACATGAGAAAGTAAGAATGGAAGGATATTTTTTGTTTTGTTATTTCACTCAAAAAAGTTCGTAGCTAGCCTAAGGTTAAGCCAATTTCATAAAACACACTGCGTTTTAATAGCTAATTATGAAACCAGTGTTACATACAATGTTTTCTAATTTTGACTTGATTATTTATAAAATTAAGTTTTGGTAAAACATTACTGATATCTAGGCAACCAATATTACTTTCTTGTATTATTAGTTGCATATGCGTTCATTTTATTGTCAAATAGAACATTATATTTATTATTTATTCTCAACGACTTGTAGTGTATATATTATGCTTACTAAAGTTATTTAGTTTTCAAAAACGTGGGTTATTTTATCGTGTATTGTGTTTTAATTATTTTGTACTAATTTAGAATGGAAAATAAGAGCCAAAAAAACATTATTACTAGGTTGCAAGTTTGAACAAAATTCTAGTTTTATAAGTCAACCTGCTCTTTTTTGATATAAACTTTCAATAATAATGTATATATTGATTTTAAAACCAAAAAAGGTTTATTTTTATTTCTTTTCTTTTCACAACTGGTGACAATGACTTTTTCGTAACTAGTTTCATAATTTTTAACATTATGCAATTGGTTGCGTAAAGTAAATCATGTTGACACATTCTGCTATTACAAAAGATGTCACTTTATATATCAAAATTAGAAAAAGTATTTTATAGCTTATACAAATATACGAGATAGCATCAAGGTATTCGTTCCGTGCGAAGTCATGGAAAGGGAAGCAGAAGCTATACTAGCGCTAGCTGCGGAAAATTCGTGCATTTTAGGGCGATATTTTGTAATTTTGGCATATCAAATACACGTATACATTTTACTTTTTTTCAAAAAAAGTAGGTAAAAACAATACAATAAGCAACCGGAGTTGCTGTGTTGAAAATTGTAAAAATACTAGCAAAAAAAACAGTGAAAATTATAAAAATTTTCAGTAGCAAAGTGGAAATTGAATCAAAGAAATAAATGGATATGTGTACAATAAGAAGAAAAATTACCTTTATTTTTGTAATAATAACAGTAATACTGGAAATAGTAGACATCAGAAACTTGAAAGGTTTTATATAAACAATAAATTATCATTTTACGATGTTCTTTAATATCCCTTTATTCTTAAATATTCATTCAGCAAGAACTATATAAATTTCACGATTTCTGCCTTTTATTATTATATGTGGCAATTTTGTGACTTTCTAATGGGAAACCAGTTTTAATCATTCATTCTATGTTCTCTTTCGAACAAAAATGAAAATATAAATAACGATCCTTTTTTATACATTTTAACTTCACGCTATTATTAAAAGGTATTTTTTTATTATGACAGAATAGTCTAATTTTTCAATGACAACTTATTAGACTTAGGCAACTTCTCATACATTTTCCAGTAAATACTGTTGCATGTCTATATTTTATTATTGATTTTTATTGATTATACATAATTTTCTTTAATTTAAGCGTTAAAAAAATATAGTAATAATAAATTAATGTTTTACTTGTTTTACAAATCCATATACTTTTATTAAAACTAACATATATACTTTTTAATTACGAATTCTATTAAAAATTGTATTTGTAAGTATACACAGAAATAGTCCATTAGTACCAAAATGAATTGGCGCTGCTGTCGCGCACGGAGCGAATAGTCAGGGCTCTCTTGTGCCTAATTAGCAACAAAGGATTATTTTAAATTTTACAATTTGTTTTTTAGTATACGTGCAATTTCGTGACGACTGTCTTTTCATAGTAATTTTTCATTAAAAATGCATTGTCATTGCCAAAATAGTGTCTTCATCTGAATCTTCATCCAATGTAAAAGAAATGCTAAAAAATCGCAGTGTATTGAAAAAATTTTAAAATACTGTCCTAATCTAAAGTCTAAACGAAACAATGGTCATTGATTATGATGATAAAAAGAATAGGTATCTCTTCTCTAAAGCCTTGTTCAGAGTAGGAGCTGCGCGCGTCGTGATGCGATAGCCTTGCGTAGAACGACGCGTCGTTGGTAAAACAACCTAGTGTTATCAAACGCAAATGTTCAGAGCAAGAGCGATTAGCGATGAGATGCATCGCGTTGCCAATATAAACAAGGACTTTATGCTATTGTCATGAAATTCCTAAAGCCTACCCTGTGTACGAGCGACCTTGAAGTCTACCACTCGATTCATGATCTAAGCAACGCTGACGTGTGAAAATAGTCGGACCGCGTCTCAAATATACAAGAAACGACGAAATCTAGGTATGCCGCTGACGCTTCTAGAAACTGACGTTGAGTCATAGAGATGGAATTTTCGGGAGCACCCAGAAACGACGAGCATGGAATTGGCTTGGTATAAATAGCCGACTCATCGGCGCACAGTTTAGTTTAGTATAGAACATTGTAATGAAAAGTTAAGTGTAATAAATAAATTAGAATTGTTAGTTAGTGTCTAAGTATTTTATAAATTAATTAGTACGTCTTAAATAAATTGTAAATAGTGTGTTTTAAATAAATAAACTATAAATAAATTAGATTATCCTTACACTATGAAACAATTGCAGCGTTTGAATATCCACATCGGATGCATCTGAGATGTTGTGAATTTATTACCACGTAATAGAGAATTAGATCTTAAATTCGATTATGATCGAATGATCTGAATGTAGATGTAATAAACAAACACTCTAGACTTTATTGGTCACGTGATAAAATGTCAACGACAAGTTAAATGTTTATACTTTTTCAATTTGACTTTTGAGACTACAAATCAACCTAAATTTAAGATCTAAACAAAAATTAAACAGACTAATCACTTTTATATTCATGCTAGCATAAACAAAGAATAAATTGACATACTTGGCTTCACAGAACACTTACTTTCTGGCATGGAACGAACATCTCATTCACGTCTCATTTCAAATCGAGATGTAAAAAATGTAATCTGAACAGGTACATCTCGGATAAACAAACGCAGATTTAGATGTAGTAGATGTGTCCGATGTGGATAAAGAAATGCTCGAGATGTAAAAAATGCATTGGATGTGGATTTTCAAACGCGGCAAATGTCACTGTCTGCCCCTGTCTGTTTCTCCGCTTACTTCTGAACCATTTTAATACGGTTTTTGGTAATAGAAAGAGCTATAAACAAGGAAGTTTTGTGTACAAATTGTGTAAATATTTTCTATTAAATAGCTGAACTATGACGGTGTTTTGTCAAAAAAACTGTTTTTGTACGTTTACATGGCTAAAGCTTAAGAGATACAATCAAAACAATGTACTAGAAAATTGTAGGTATTAAAAAGATCTACGGTAAAGTTAAGGGAAGCACGCTTCTAGCTCCTAAGGTACACTCACAATAACTATTTTAATCATTTGCAGATTAGTAAAAAACGATTGGCTATTTTCCCTAATTTATTATTAGTCCTTATTCCAATAAATATGTCAGTTGCTTTGTGAATTTAATATAGATTAAAATTGTCTTTTACACTATATCATTCAAATAATACTTTAGAAGATATCACCGTGCGAATCTGGAGCCAGTCGCTATATAGTCTGAAAATAATAATATACCATGACGTTACAATTGAACGTGAAAATGTGAATAATAAACTATGAATTATTTACTTTGCAATTGAACTGAGACTTTAAAAACGTTGTGTAAGAGCTGTTAAAATTGGGAGCTAATCTAAACACGATACAAAACAACGAATTAATGTAGATCATATTAGACATAGCCTGTCAATTTAATCAAGAAGAAATATTTAAATTATTGATATGAGTCAGTGAATCTGTCCTTACAACAAACCTACAATGTAATGGGATACTTACATTTAAGCTTACATTGCTCACAATATTTACAGTCCTATTTTTTTACTTATATTCAATTTTTAGGAACGATTTTGGAGAAAAACGAGATCAAGAGGAAACTCTTGTTATGGTGTCGATATAAATCGAAACTTCGGTTTTCACTGGATGGCCACAGGAGCATCTCATCTAGAATGCTCTGAAATCTATGGCGGCCCAAAAGCATTTTCCGAAGTGGAAACTATTATCCTAGGAAATTATTTATGGAATAACAGAAACACTATAAAATTGTATGTATCCTTACACGGTTACGGTTCTTATATTTTATATCCATGGGCTTTCACCACCGCCGTGGCTAAGAATCAAAACGAACTGCACACATTGGGATTAGAAGTCAATTCAGCTATAAGTAGAGTGTATGGCACGCGTTACCAAGTCGGAGCACCGCCTAGAATTCTTTATGCCGTAGCAGGAGGTAGTGCAGATTACGCAAAAGGGGTAGCTGGTATAGATTTGGCTTATACAATTGAATTACCCGCTGGAGGGCCTTACAATTTTGATCCTCCACCGAGTAAAATCAGACCCACCGTTCAGGAAACTTGGGAAGGATTTAAGGTTTTTCATAGACATATTGAAAGGAAACATGGAAAAGGTTGAATTCTTTGGTCTTCTTCATGATAAATTCTAAAATCTCAAAAATATAAATACAATCAAAAATCTTTATTCAGACAGAATCTAAAGAAGCGATTGAAGCGAAGTCATTAATCCTGGCTATACTAGGAGATACCTACATTCCATGATATGACAAATGAAAATTAAATAAACTGGGTAATTTTAATTTATTATTTGGTTCATTTTTGGCACAAAACAATAAAAATATTTCCTTTCTTCATTATCAAATTTTGTTTTATTTATAACTAGCTATTTTTTCTGAGCTAGATGAATATCAAATTTTAAAGGGTCTACATCCAGTTTTTGACAGGGGTGAAAAGGCCCATCTGTAGGTTTTGCGTGAGCCCGGTCTCTTCGTGGCCACTCTAGTCTGTAGCCGCGAGATTAGTGTGCATTCACTTTCTCGCAACAGTTAAGTGATGATCTCTCTAGCCAGGTCGTGAATGGGTGACCACTGGGACGTTCCACCGTATCACCACAGGACTTAGCCGACTTGCATTCAACTATCCACGACGTGGAATTAATGACGGTGAATGAGGGAATGAATTGGTGAATGGGAAAGTGGTAGAACCTCTAAATGGTGGTATAATAAGATGCAGGCAAGAGCACCTGTGGCACATATTTGTTCCAAACTTTTACAAATTAACCTAAGTTTTAAAAACTTTATGAAATTTCCAGTTCAATAATATAATCGCATGTAAGAGCTAAATGGAATAAATTTAGTAGCTTAATTACTGTGTATATTTATAAAAAAATCCCAAAACACATTAATTTAAGATATAAAAATGATATTTTGCAACGTAGAAATTTCACCCCTACCTTCAGCCCCCTTCGAGTAACAGTTGCAGCCTCTAAATTTGCAAATGGAAAGCAGGGGTTTGTGATGACTCATTTGAAAGGTCTTCATTATCTATTCAAAAAATCTGTGGCTTTCAAATTTATTACAAAAATTAAGAGTAAAAAATAAATTAATTACTAATAGAGTTTCCTCAAACGAACTACGAAATAGTGAACATTATTTTTGAAACCACCTAATCGTGTTTTGCGCACACTGCTCTTATCAACTGAGATATCACGGATATAGTCAATGACTTCCAAATTGTTAAGATGAATATAAGATTTCGAATCCAACCTCGTTTACAGAAAATTTTTAATTCCTTAATAATAGTAGTTTGTGCAACAAGAGTGGATATGATGGTCATATTGCAAGAAAATGAATCGTCTAAGTGCGATATTGACAATCTACTCGAGTATTTTTTCTACGACCCACTAACAAAAATCTACAAATTTAAAAAATTATTTTAGGTTATTAAGACAAAATAACTAATTTTAAAACAATTTGTAACTTTTACTAATTTATAAAATAAAATAATCATGAAAAAAAAAATTAATTTTAGTAACCCGCCCAGAACCCGGGCCTCTTACGTGTAAAACATATGCTATATCCTCATCTCCATCTCCATATTTAGGATTTTAGTTTTAATACTCGTAAATAAATTATTTTCACATAATTTGAATCAAATTTAAGATTTTTTCAAAATGTGGACCAAATATAATCTCAATCTCAATAACTAAAAAATCTGATGTGTCCAACACATGACTTTCCTATCTAGTTATTATAGGCTTTTTCCGGTTATTTTGTACAACCTATTGCAGCACCTCTATAAATATTTAAAGGATAAACTAAATATATACATTTTCCACATACATTTAACTCGAAACATTTTTCTCTAGATAACGAAAATACTGAAAAATTTAAATATAGCACTTTTCCTTCAATTTTTCCAATACGGTCCATTTTAGAAAAATCATATAAAAAACAAAAATTATAGAGATCGATATCATAAATAACTTTTATTTAAACAATTTTCCTAAAAATTTGAATTTTATTACATTTTGTCAAATTTCTCGAATACGGACCATTTAAAAAAAAATTGTATGAAACCAAAATTATAGATAATAATATTGTAAGTAATTTTTATCTGAACAATTTTCTTCTCAAAACATAAATAACACATATAGTCCATAAAATATAAAAACGGCCTCCCATAAAGTACCCCCCCACATGTTCCGACTTTGTCCAAAATCTAATCATTTCACGTCAGGCCGAAATAAACCTTAAGTTTAAAATTTAATGTTTTTTTCTTTATCCGTTTTTGAGTTTTCTTCAAATTTCGAAATTTACACATTTTCTCAAATATCTCGAATACGGTCCATTTTAGAGAAATTATGTATAGAACAAAAATTATAGAGAATTATATTACAAACAACTTTTATTTGAACAATTTTTATAAAAAATATTTTTTTTACATTTTATCAAATTTCTCGAATACGGACCATTTTAAGAAAATTTTGCATAAAACAAAAATTATAGATAATTATATTAGAAGTAACTTTTATTTGAAGAATTTTCTTCTCCAAACGTAAATAACAGATATATTCTATAAAATATAAAAATGACCACCTATAAAGTACCCCCCAGATGTTCCGACTCTGCCCAAAATCTAATCAGCTCATTGGACGCTGAAACAAAGCTTAAGTTTAAAATTTGGTGTTTTTTTGTGTATCGGTTCATGAGTTATGCGTTATACAGACACACACACACACACACACACACACACACACACACACACACACACACACACACACACACACACACACACACACACACACACACACACACACACACACACACACACACACACACACACACACACACACACACACACACACACACACACACACACACACACCACACACACACACACACACACACACACACACACACACACACACACACACACACACACACACACACACACCACACACACACACACACCACACACACACACACACACACACACACACACACACACACAGACAGACATCATCGTGAAAATAGTCAAAACGGATTCAGGGGACCTCAAAAAGTAAAAATCCGTCGAAAACTCGAGGTCGAAAAAAATCATGATTCCTATACTTTCCTTATATCTGTATACAGATAGGAAAGTAAAAATATACTGACAATTAGTTAGACAGAATTGTCACTTATTTAACATTTTAAAAATAATAGCAGTTGGGTGTCCAAAATATGAACTGTGATTAGTGGATTTTATTTTTTGCAGTATTGTCACTTTCTAGAATGGATGTGAAATATATTCGTTCAGTCGAACGCAATAGCATACTTTGTGGGTGTAGAAAAAGTACTAAATAGCATCGTCTGGGAAAAACATGCATTGGTATTGTTATGCAGACCGCAGACCCTTCCCCTGGCCATCTATGATGAATTAATTTTTCAAAAATATGATAATGCAAATAAAGTTAGTGAGACATTTGGTTTTAAAGTATCGAAAACTTGTCGGTTAGGGAACCGAAAACTAAAGAAGATAAATAAATTCGTTGTAAATTCCCATGCAAATCCCAAAATTTTTTATCTTACAATTTATTTCCACAATTTTCAAGATTATATCCATTCAAAAGCATACTACTATAATATATATGAAAAAAATATCAGTCAATAATTTGGGTCCGAGCGTTTTTTCGTAATTGACCTAGGGTGCCCAAAATTGACTGTTTCATTTTCAAATGGCCACCCTGTATATATACAATACTCTATTATATGTGTATTAATAAATCATCTAAATTCATGATAGTTAATAAATGTTTTATATTGTGTTTCTACTTATTTCATTGGTACTCTATCACCGCAGCTCCGCAGCACCACTGAATACCAGTGGTGGCTGCACCGAGCATATACAGTTACCAGATATCCCAATTTAGGTAGGAGTCTCCAGCCTACCGATTGTTGATACTCCCGTCTGTCGGTTCAATCCTCAAAACTCAAAATTTTTATAAAATCAACGCTTTAAATGGCTTTTACCGTGCTTTTAAAAAACCTATTGACCCTAAATGAGGTGTGGAGGTGGGATAGAGCCCCCTTTACCCGCAAAAAGTCCGGGCACCCAAAGCAATTTTTAAGTTCCGGCGCGCCTATGCCCATAAGTTAGTTTTGTATATCTCTTTTATTCCCTCAGTGCGAAGTGATGGTAAGGGAAGCAAAAGCGATATTTTTTAATTTTGGCATATAATATGCACGTATAGATTTTAGTTTTTATTTAAAAAAGTAGGTAAAAACGATACAATAAGCAACCAAAGTTGCTGTGTTAAAAATTGTCAAAATACTAGCAAAAAAACTAGTGGAAATTATAAAAAATTTCAATAGCATAGTAGAAATTAAATCAAAGAAATAAATGGATAGGTGTATATTAAGAAGAAAAATTACCTTTATTTTTGTAATATTAACAATAATACTGGAAATAGTAGACATCAAAACTTGAAAGGTTTTAAATAAACAATAAATTATCATTTTACGATGTTTTTCAACATCCCTTTATTCTTAAATGTTCAGCAAGGACTAAATTTTAAGATTTCTGCCTTTGATTATTGTATGTGGGTGGAATGCAATTTTGTGACTTACTGATAGGAAACCAGTTTTAATCATTCATTCTGTTTTCTTTCGAACAAAAATGAAAATATAAATAACAATCCTTCTGTTTATACATTTTAACTTCACGCTATTATCTAATGGTATTTTTTTATTTTGACAGAATAGGTTTAATTAGGCATTCCAAACTGAATGGCTACCAGTGGGTTTTGACAGGTTATGATATGGCAAAATTATGGCAACCCTGTAGGCCTGGTGATTTGACAAGGTCAATGAAATAGATAATTACATAGATTAATCATCCATATTTTTCAAAATAAACATAAGCTTTATGCCTTGAAGTAAAAATGTAAGCAATTATTGTTTTTTAAATATCTAAAGGCTGAAAATAGGTTTTAAAACATCTTTTTGCTAAATCGATTCAAATTAATAAATATTTGCCCGGGAATATGGCCGCTCGCAAACGACCAGCTGTGAGCAATCTATATAACTATATATGTATCATTGACCCTGTTAATGACAACATAACAACAGGTTTGCCATATCTAAACTGTCAGTCCCCACTGGTAGCCATTTGGACAGGTCGTTGTAATGCCTAATTCTTCAAAGACACACATTTGTTCAAAAACTTGTTTCCAGTCAATAGTCACGACGCAACAGCACTATAATACATAATAATGTGATTGACAGAATTAAACTCGTGTCCGTAAATACTGCCAAACTATTGGTTAAAAAAAAATTGT